CATTTGTTTCAGGGTCTGACTGCTGTTTAACAGGGCTCCACAGGGCAGCATACTGCCAAGAGCTTGTGTTTTGGGGCAGACTGGTGGGTTTGAATATCTGTTCTTTTACTAAATGAGTTTGGGAAGTTACTTTGTTTCTCTAAGTTTTAAGAGGCTTTTTTGGTTTGTTTTTTAATTTTTGTAGGGACTGGGTCTTGGGGTCTTGCTGTGTTGCCCAGGCTGGTCTCAAACTCCTGGGCTCAAGTGATCCTCCCGCCTCAGCCTCCCAAAGTCCTGGGATTACAGGGATGAGCCACCATAACTGGCCAAAGTTTTAGTTTTCTCATCCATAAAACAGGGATAATAATTTCACTCATTCAGGGTAGTTTCAGGATTACATGAAATGATGGATGGGACATAGAAAAAGTGAGTTTAGAGCTCCCCATTACTGAGAATTAAATAACGCTAAAATGTGGGGCATAGTGCCTGTGACATAGCGCATAGGGAATAATGTTAGCTGTTGTTTGAAAGGTTTGGAATATCATCATTTCCCCTAGTAGTGGTCAGATGCATAGAAATTGGATTTATATGAGCCAGAGAGAGTGGGAAGACCAAAATTGAAATTAATAATTTACTCGCATGTGCCACATTTGTCACTGCCCTCTTTAAGTCTCAAAACCTTGTAGTCATCCTTGCCTCTTCCCCGTCCTCTACCCTCACTTCTAATCACTAGGTAAACCCTCTCAGTTCTATGTTGATGGTGTTTTCCATACGTCGTGTTTCCCCATTCTCTGTACCCACCTGCCCACACTCCTGTTCCTTCTTGCCCACACCATAGCAGGAGTCTTAAGTGACCTGTCTCTTCACTTTTTTTGTTTTTGTTTTTTGTTTTTGAGACAGGGCCTTACTCTGTAGCCTGGGCTGGAGTGCCGTGGCGTCAGCCTAGCTCACAGCAACCTCAAACTCCTAGGCTCAAGCAATCCTCCTGCCTCAGCCTCCCGAGTAGCTGGGATCACAGGCACGTGTCACCATACCTGGCTAATTTTTTCTATTTTTAGTAGAGATGGGCTCTTGCTCTTGCTCAGGCTGGTCTCCAACTCCTGACCTCAAGTGATCCTGCCTCGGCCTCCCAGAGTGCTAGGATCACAGACATAAGCCACCGTGCCCAGCCTCTCCTCACTTCTAAATGCTGACATCCCCACAGCCACCAATCTGCCTCAGCACATTAAAATGGAAGCAACTTTAGGTATCACCCAGTTAGGTGATTCACAAACCTGGCTACACAGCAAAACTGCCACAGGAGATTGTTAGAAATACAAATACCTGAGATCCTGCCCCAGACCTAGAATCTATGGCTCTAGAGACTAATTTAACCTCCCTCAACTTGCCACCCACCCCCACGTCATTCCTACATGTAACTATGGGTCATCCTGGTTGATGGTAAACTAAGGCCCCTGAGAGTGATCGTCTCTGTCCTCTGGGAGTTGCTTGCGGGTCCACTGCGGGAACCCTTGTCCTTGAGGCACAGCCTCAGTCAGGCCACTTCCCAATCAGCTTTTGGCGAGTGCCCTCTGCTTTCAGAGTAAAGCCCAAACCCCTGGGCCTCTGTGACTCATTTCCAGACTGTTTTTCTGAGTTTCAGAGCCCAGGTTTGTCCCTCGTCCTGGCCCTCTCTTTCTTTGACACACTCTGCACTGTGCCCTGGCGGTTATGTTCCTGCTCACCCCTGATATGCCTTCTCGCCCGTGCCCACCTGCTGAGGT